TTTCTCTGTCTCTAAAGACCTTGTCCTTCTCTCTCATCACTTGAAACACAGTGGTTGAGAATTTAGAGTGAGCTTTGACACAGTGGAAAGAACGAGATGCAGGATTGGTGTTACCATCTTTTGTTTGACTTGCTACCTATATGGCTTTGGGCAAACTGCACAAACCGGAACCGGAGTGGCTTCAGCTGCCTCATGGTGAAATAAGCACTGTGAGATTCTCATCTGTCTTTTAGGGCTAGTGCAAGGAATAATCAGTTATGAGCATGATCGAAATCCAGTAGGAAATGTTCTGGAGGACTAAAGCAGGACAGCACAAGCAAGGCTCTGTTCTTGGGGATTTTCCTTAAGATTTCCCTTCACATTACTTATCACGTGTCTAGTCTGTGACAGGCAGTATTAGATTCTGGGCATGCTGTAGTGAGCAAAAGAGATGGAGCCCCAACCTTCTTGAAGTTTATAATCTGATGAGAAATAGAAAAGAAGTGAATAAACACAAAAATGCACAAATAGTTGAAACTATGGTTAAAGGCCAGGAAAGAAGTAGAGAGTAGAAGGAGAGACTTTCTGAGTCCTGTGATATTTGGAAAATCCCTGCAACATTCATTTTTTATTTTTATTTTTTGGTTCTGATCCTAGAGCTTGACTCAGGGCCTAGGCACTGTCTCTAAGCCTTTCTGCTCAAGGCTAATGAGTGCTCTGCCACTTGAGCTACAGCTATGCTTCTGTTTTTTATTCATTTGTTTTTTTCTTGGTCGTTAATTGGAGATAAGAGTCTTACAGATTTTTCTGTCTAAAGTTGGCTTCAAACTGTAATCATCATATCTCAGTTTCCTGAGAAGCTAGGATTACAGATATGAGACACTGGCACCTGGCAATTTCTGCAACACTCTATGGGAAATTATGAGCCATGATTACCTGTGTAGAGGCCAGAGCATGGAATTGTATGACTTCTCACTGTGTCTTTCCCTACTAAAAATTTTCCCATTGCCATGCATTGCTTATAATTTTATAATTCTTTAATACAGAAAACATGATGTCTGAGTACATCCCAACCTCAGTAGGCCTTACTTTTCTTTGTTGTCTTCAAAGACCTGTAGAAAGGTTCGGCATGTGTTAGGTACAGATATATTTGTCAAGTCCAAGCAAAATCTGAAACAGCTCTACTTCCAGTTCAAATAGAACTGAGAAAAGGCTGAACAAAATTTCGTCTTCAGTGTTGAACCCAGGTCTCTACAGAGCAGCCAGGCTACCCTCCCAACCCCCCTCCGCCCATGGGGAATGAGCCAGACCACTGACCTGTGAACCCAAAAGAAACAAGTCCAACTGGGCTGGAGACTGCCAAGAAATTATCACCATCAATCTGGCTACCCTGGAGAAATGACAGCTAGTAAATGACTTTTAATTAAAGAAGCCTTATCAAGAGGACTCAGATCTGTGATTCACAGGCCACCAAACTGCAGGCATTAAAATGAGGCAAGTGAAGAATAGAAAAGCTGTCAGACTAGGTGTGAAACAAGAGGTAGCCTTTTAACAAGAGTGAATGGTGAGAAAGCTTACAAAATAAGAACTGAATTGATTTATCAGACAGCTGGTTAAAAAAAAAAAGGTGTCAAATAGGCTCCTCTCATCATTGAATTGAAAAGCATACCCCCCAAAAAATTAAGGCCATTAATTGCAATAGGAACACATTTTCTTTGCCTGTCACAAAAAAAGAGGTGGTAGGATATAAATAGGAAGGGTTGGCTGGCAGAAAACTATGTCCAAGGAGGGGACACATCTGTGCTACCTAAAGTGTCTGGAGGGAAAAAAGGATGTGAGTGTTTCTTCTCTCTATCTAGCTCTTTTTTCATAAGAGGGAAAAGAAACTTCCTTCTCAGAACTTCTAGAGAAAATACCCGGCATTTCACTTTCTTTCTCATCTTCTTTCTCCCTGCCATTGGGCCTTGGAGTCTAAGGTTTGCAGATCACCGAGTTCACTCCAAATGCAGTGACTGTAACCGCCCGGCTGCCCTGTGCTGGGACAGGCGCGGGCATTGTTCAGGTGATGCCTCACATTCCCAAACTCCTCTTTTTGAAATGTTTCCAAGAAAACTCACAGTTGTTCTCACTGCTTAATATCAGAGTCACTATTTGAACCTTCTATGTTCATTGAGAACTCTCACGTGTTCTTTACCCCAAGCCCAGCTTTTAGAAGTCTTGTTGTCACAGTCATCACTTATAGCAGAGTTAGCTTCTCGATGTCCATTGGTATGTTTGAGATGAAAGTCATGGCAATGTCTATCACCATCAATGTCTACCCACTGTCCTGGCTTGTGCCGAGGGTCTGAGGTTTCTGGATTGCCAGAGTTTTAGTTTTACAATGGATCAGTTCTGGGCAAACCAGAAGCTGGTGCCTTTACCAGTGCTAAGTGACATACTTCATATTCTCAGGGGGAAAAAAATCTAAGCAGCAAGCATTATTATCCTGTTTTCCAGGTAAGGGACTAAGGTTCAGGTTAAAGCAAGTTGAGGCCTGTCTAGGCTAACCTAAGCAAGTTCACAGACACCTGATAATAATAATTTAATAAACATTTAAAGGTCTGAGGATGTGGTTTTATGCTGGAGCACTTGCTTATTAGCATACTCAAGGCCCTGGCTTGAGACCTTAGTACCAAGAAAGCAAAATAAAAATAATCCTAGACAGTATTGTCCACTGATTGCTACAGAAAGGGTACATTTGCAAAGGTAGTATATTCATTCAACTAAAGTTAAAGTGAGGGCCTACTACATCACAGAACTGTGCTAGGCCTTTGGAATATTTAAGAGGAAAACAATGAAATCTTATCTACAGAAATAAGTGGATAAAGTAATGGAGTTGAAATTGTTCTTAAACACCCCAAATCGCCCATTAAGTATTACCTTAGGCCTGGTTCTTGAGAAGCAGAGTCTAAGATGATGATTCTTGGGCGCCTGCATGGTAGCATGGGAGGGAGGCTGGCCAGAGGATCATGCTGAGCAAGCTTGTGAGCTCCGTTGAGCTTGTAGTGTAGCCTTCCTACAGGGAACTCTTAAGTGACATTGTTGATCCAGCATTGGCCATGGGCCCTCTCCTGGAATTAGGTTGTAACCTTGTTGACACTTCAGGGGTAGGTGGCTCCTATTAGATCAGGATTACTCTCCAAAGAATGGCCCTGCTGTGATTTGTAAGCAGCCAGGACTAGGCAGCTAGAAGGATATCTCAGATTAGTTAAGGAAATATAACAAGGGACACCAGCAACTACAAGTGTACAACTATTATGCAACGTGTTAGAAACTTACTCATCACTTGTTAATAAGCTCAGCAGAATAGTTTGTTTTTGTTTATTGCTGCAACAGTCTACCATTTCTTTGCATGAGTTACAGATGATAGAGCCAGCTTGAGCTCAGAGGTCATGGTGTGTGAAAAATAGACATCTATCCCCATGGGTGCATATCCAACATAGGAAGATGCTCACACCGTGAGAGCTGCTTCCATGGGATTGACACTGTGTTTTCCAGGAAGCAGATGTGACATGTCATTATGCAGGATGTTCATTAGGAAATGCCTGTAGGGCCAACACGTGTGGAAGGAAAGAGATGAAAGCAGAAGTGGAGGGAGAAGCTGAGCACAGTGCAGGTGGAGGAGGCAGTCTGTCAGATCTGGAGCGGAATGACTTGCCCGAGCTGGGCTACACTGAAGCAAAATGGTCAGATCTTTTTATTTCTCCCTTTTCTTCTGCACTTCAGTGAGACCGCCCTGCAGGGATAACTGGAGGCTCTCTGATGTCGAGGCAGCAAATTCTCATTGGGTGGCACCTATTTATGTCCATCCTCTGATGGAGACAGCTCCTAAAGTCATCTCATGCTCACTCCAAGCATAACATCATTGAATGGAAAAGGCACAAACTCTCCCTCATACCTCTAGTTGGAAGGTGGTTTTGACTTTGCAAAAAAGTAGGTGGGGGCACATATTGTTGAAGAAACTATGATTTAGTGAATATGTTACTATGTGTTACTATTCTGGGCTTTTGCCATTGGTTTGTCTTCATTTACATGTCAATAAACCTATTTTTTTTAAGAAAATCTTTTTGTGTGTGTGTGCCAGTCCTGGAGCTTGAACTCAGGGCCTGAATGTCTGGCTGCTGACCCTGTGCTTTTGCTCAAGGCTAGCACTCTATCATGTGAGACACAGCTCTACTTCTGGCTTTTATTTTGTTGTTTAGTTGGAAATAAGAGTCTCATGGGGAAAAAAAGTTGGAAATTAGCGTCTCATGGAAAAAAAAAAGAGTCTCATGGACTTCTCTGCCTTGGCTGGCTTGGAACCACAATCCTCAGATCTCAGCCTCCTGAGTAGCTAGCATTACAGGTGTGAACCTGGTGATAATCCTGTTTTGAAGATTTCTCACTATAATTTAGTAATAAACCTTGTGATAAAGATTTTACATGCATTACCTCCCTCATTCCTCATTTTGAAATTCAGTATTGGGTTGGAAAACACCTGTCCAATGTGAATTATGTAGCCAGTATTTGAATCAAAGTCTGACTTCAAAGCTCAAAACCTTAACTACTCTGCTAAAGCCAGCTGTAAAAACTTGCCCATTACCCTTTGATAGACCTTAGCAAATTCATTCATTGACAGTGTTTTACTGAGCATTCCTTGAACCAGGCTCGGTGCAAAGATGAACAGAAAAACTTTGGAAAATATCAGCCAATGGGTTTATCAAAGCCTTTTATGTTATCCCATTAATATTGCACATATATATATTATTTATATATTTTTATATAATTTTAATTAATATATTTTATATACTTTATATTCATATATATATATATATGAATAAATGTCTTAAAACCCTCTGAGAAGGAGTTTATATACATGTGTTCTTATAGGCCATTCTTCCTGCCTTCCTGAAGGTTCCTAATAATCTCAAGAAATTAATGGAAATGTGAGGACTTGGAATTACTCTTGGTAACTTGATTCACTATTTGAAACTTTTTAACAGGCTAAAAGAGATGCTAAACGGATGTTGGCAAAAGAAGTCACCATTAATGTTACAGACAGCATCCGACCAATGGACAGAAGTAAAAGAATCACGAAGAACTGCATCAACTAGCAGAGTCTCTGAAAACAGAAGCAGATGACCTTCTCTGGGGTTCTTCACAGTCCGGGGTCCTGCCAAGGAAAGCTGGAGAAGTGGATGCCACTTGGTGAACGTGGATGCTGCTGAGTGCCTTGAGAATCAATGGTCTGACCTGGCAGCAAACAGCTGGCTTGAGCTGTTAGGATGTTCTCAGCTTCCCGTTTCTCACATACAGTCATTGTGCTGCACAATCCTCAAATACGTTAATGAACTGCCAAGGGGCAGCTTGCTTTGCCTCTGTTCAGGCAAACTTCCTATAATTGGATCTGCTGTGGACACAGTGAGCTAAAGATACAGGTTAGAATAGAAAACAGAAAAGCAGAAGTTGGGGAAAGATTCACAAAGCAGTATTGAGCTTTCCTGGCTTGATCATGTAGGGTTTTAAACAAGCTCATTCTTTTCTTTTTAAATTCTGCCATTACAAATCTTGTTTTAACCTAAAGGCTGGCTTCCACATAACTCTAAACCCAGATATATGAGAACCCACAAGCAAGGAAAACTTACTTTCATTCTTGCCTCCCTAGCTCAGGATGAGGGATTAGACCTAGCTTCACAGTACTGACTCCAGCAGCTACTGGGAAGTGTCTTCCCTAGAAATGCCTGCTATCTGGTATCCATACACTAGCCTCCCATCCTTCAGGACGTGATCCTTGTGGTCAGTGCACATAAACTTGGATACTCCCCAGGTTCAGCCAAACACGGCATCCCTGCTGCCCCACCCCCAACCCTCTAGTTCCCTTTCCTTGTCTTCTGCTAAATTTTCTTTCTCCATTTGGATCATTTGCAATTGTAATCAAAGATAGGACAATGCTCACAGGAGGAAGGTGACACAGGAACATGTGGCAGCATACACAGCTTTCCTTTGGCCTCTCCATACATAGCCTCAGGACTGTACTATTTTGGTATTTGCAAAGTAATTACTTTAGAAAGCCAGTACCTAGTTGATGCGTATTCACACTGACATTAGACTGGTATGCATTATGTAAAAAAGCAGGGAGTTTGCCAGGCACCAGTAACCTAGCTACTCAGGAGGCTGAGATCTGAGGATCAAAGCCAGCCCGGCCAGGAAAGTCTGTGAGATTATTATCTCCAGTTAAAAATCCAGAAGTAGAGCTGTGACCCAAGTGGTAGAGCGCTAACCTTGAGCAAAAGGAGCTCAGGGACAGTGCCCAGGCCCAGAGCTCAAGCCCCAGGGCCAGCAAAAAAATCAAACAAACAAACCAACAACAACAACAAACCAGGTAGCTGACACTGTCAAATGATGTTTTGATAGGAATAACATGATCAGCTGAATGTATTTTCTTCAAGGTAATGTAGTATGATTCTTAAAGGATTGTTAACAAGTCTGATGTTGGGAAAGGTAGGGGTTAAAGTTATACGAAGCTATACCAATAAAGTCCATGTTTATCAGAAATAGCTTGATGGAGTGTGTTTGTATAACAAAGTCCAGAGAATTAAAACTTCAGATATGAAATCCTTTCATTGCTAACTTGTATTACTAAAACACAAATAGTAGTGTTATTCATTTGTTCTTTCATGCTAGATTGTATATTTATTCATGAAACTGTAGATGTCAGTTCCATACTAGCCACTTTACAGATACTGAGAGATTTGGAGTCCAGTCAGTCACAACTCTACGTCCTGAATCTAACAGTGAACTTCATAATCAGAAGACTGACTTAAACCCTAAGATTTGGCGTGTGGTCTGCTGTGGACCTCTCTTTTTTTCACTAAGAGTAAGCTTGTGTAAGCTTGTGTTCTTCTGATCACTGTACAAGACTTTACCATGCACACAACAACAGTTTCCCTAAACCTCATTTTGATTCCTTGTTAAAGGGCTGTTAGGGAACTCGATGTTCTGAAATACTTTTTAAATTAAAAAAAAAAGCAAAACCGTGACTCATGTCCCCAGTGGCATTGCTCAGCAGGAGCCCCCAACTGCCAAGTTGGCAGTGATCCTGCAAGTTCAAGGGCTTGTTCTTCCCAGGGTGTGTGCAGTACTTCAGGCAAGGTGTGGCCTCATCCATCACCGAGCGTCAGCCATGAGCTAAGCCTAGTTTCTCTTTACAACGCTGCATTTGCTTCAGTTCACTGCTGCATGTCTTTTGGAATTTAACAATTTGAGTTGTTTCTACTTATAGGCAGACATTTTTTTTCCCACTTGGCCAAGAGGAAGAAGGGAATTGAGGATCCATGATCTGCCCCTCCCCACAACAATCTGATTTCACTAAGGGAGGGAGGGGAAGTTAAGCCATGTCACTGAAAAGTCATCTGGGTTTTTTAAAAATGTATGTTTGACTGGAACTGTTCCTTATTATCTTATTGGGCTAATAATATTTCCATGGAAAAGTTTGTCAATAAAGTCATTAATTCAAATGCATATGTGGTCACAGAGAATCTTCACTGGGATCTTAAGTTTATGTGCAGTAAACTTTAAGGACTTTTATATAAGTGATCACTGTGAGTCCTCCCAAAAGCCTGGAAAAGTAGGTAAGGAGAACATTATTAGCCACAATTTACACTTACACAAATATTTTAATCCACTCAACCAGGAAGTGATGAGCTGGCATTCAAGGGAGAAAAGTTGGCCTGCAAAATCAGTGCCTTTCCTACCATAGCTATGTGCCAACCACAGCAAGAAGATCCAACATGGCCAGCAAGAAGATCCAACATGGCCAGGAATTGTCACAAAAGAGAATTGTCACAGCCTGATACTGGGTCAGGCCCAAGCCCAAGCCTATGAGCCTGATAGGAGATGGGAGAGAGCTGGTGCAGAGAGGAATGAATAGAGATGTCTGGGCTGCTCCTGGGATGTTTGGGTCTGGTCCAGGTTCACATACCCCTTCGGAGAGAATGGTCTTGACCTAGTATGAGAGGGTGCCTTTGATACCACACACACACACACACACACACACACACACACACACACACACACTGGGAATTTGATGCAACCATGAGGAAGACTGAAATTATGTCATATGCAGAGGAATCAACGGATCTGGAAAATACCAGAAAGTGAAATAAGCCAGGACCAGAAAGACAAAGCACACATTTTTTTTGTTGTTCCTAGGTGGATCTTAGGTCCAAACTACACCCTCCCATGTAAACACTGACAGAGGCATATACATATCTACGTGATTAAGCTGACTGTCGTATCTGTCAAAGTGAAACTTGATGGAGTAAACCTTTGGAGCAATTAATAGTATAGCAGACTCAATTTCAGGGAGCTGAAACAAGTTTGAATGTGGGGGAGGTCTACTGGGAGGGCTCTGGATGAATGAAAAAGAAAACAAAGAACAAATACAGTCGGAATACTCAGTGCATACAGACATCCCTGAGGAGTAACATCAGTGAGAAGGAATAGAGAGATAGTTGAAAGATGACCAGGCACTGATGGCTTATGCCTATAATCCTAGCTACTCAGGAGGTTGAGATATAAGGATCACAGTTGGAAGCCAGCTTCAGCAGACATATACCAGTGACTTTGATCTCCAAGTAATTTTATTGAGAGAGAGAGAGAGAGAGAGCACGCTGGACTTGAAGCTGTGGCTCAAGTGGTAGAGCACCAACCTTAAGCATAAGAACTCAGGGACAGCACCCAGACCCTGAATTCAAGCCCCAGGACTGGTGCTAAAACCAAAACCAAAAAATATTGAAAGGCATAAATATATCTGGGAAATAGAAACATTAAGATTTGCTGATGGATTGAGGATAGGAAGGGAAGGGAAGGGAGAAACCAGAGTAATTCTTAAAGTTTGGGTTAAACAAAAAGATTCTTGGGGAAAATAGGGTAAGATAATAAGGTAGTGTAGGAAAAGGTTTCTGGGGCAGAGAACAATTTTGTACTTATTAAGTATGATGCATGCAAACAGAGGTGTCCAGTTGGATGAGCTGGACAAGCAGAGGTAGTTTGATGAATGAGTCACTCAGGGATGGAAGTGAATTTGGAGTTGTCAACCCAAAGAAGGTATCCAGTGGCTCAGCTGTTAGTCTGCTTGAGAATTTACAAAGGAATACACAAGACTTGTCCTGGGACACATCAGCATTCAAGGTGTGTGGAGTCAGCAGAGATGAGGAAGAAAACTGGGAATTCACTAAAGCCATTTGGGAAAATGACTGAAAGAGGGATGACCAGTCTGGTGAATGCTGCCAAAAGGTTAGGTAAGACTTGGAGAACAAAGATGGAGATGGGCTGAGCGCAAGTGGCTCACGCCTGTAATCCTAGCTTCTCATGAGGTGGAGATCTGAGAGTTGTGGTTCAAAGCCAGACTGGGCAAAAAAGTCCTTAAGACTCTTATCTCCAATAAACTACTCAGAAAAAGCTAGAAGTGGTGCTGTGGCTCAAGTGGTAGAATGCTAGCCTTGAGCACAGAGAAGCTCAAGACAGAGCCCAGGCCCTGAGTTCATGCCCCAGGAATGGCAAAAACAAAAACAACAAAACAACAAACAGATAGATATGGGACTGTAGCTAGCACCAGAAAGATTATTGGTAATCTTGACAAGAACAATTCTTTTTTGAAAATGAGAAATATTTCTTTTGAGAAATTTTGCTTAAAGCAAAGAAAAAAGGAAAAAAGAAGACCAGTAACTGGACATACAGACTAGAGTATATTTCTCATCAGTTACAGAATGTGGCCGGGCGCTGGTGGCTCAGGCTTGTAATCCTAGCTACTCAGGAGGCTGAGATCTGAGGATCAAGGTTCAAAGCCAGCCTGGGCAGAAAAGTCCGTGAGACTCATCTCCAATAAAACACAAGAAAAGCAAAAGTGGTGCTGTGGCTCAAGTGGTTGATTGCTCACCTTGAGCTGAAGAGCTGAGGGACAGCGCCCAGGCCCAGAGTTCAAGCCCCACGACTGACAAAAACAAAAACGAAAACAAAACTAGAATGTGGAAAAATGTTCTTGAGAAGATAAAAAAGAAAGATAGGGGCTGGGAAGGTGGCTCAGTGGTAGAGTGCTTGCCTTGCATGCATGAGACCCTGGGTTCAATTCATCAGCACCACATAAGCAGAAAAAGCCGGAAGTGGTGCTGTGGTTCAAGTGGTAGAGCGCTAGCCTTGAGCTGAAGAGCTGAAGGAATCGCCCAGGCCTAGAGTCCAGGCTCCATGACCGATAAAAAAAGAAGAAGAAGAAGAAGGAGAAGGAGAAGGAGAAGGAGAAGGAGAAGGAGAAGGAGAAGGAGAAGGAGAAGGAGAAGGAGAAGGAGAAGGAGAAGGAGAAGGAGAAAAGAAAGAAAGACGGACAGTGCCATTAAAATTTAAGACTTCTCTGTACATAAATCAAATTCAAACACAAATATTCCCAGTACATATATTAAAGAATTATCTTATATGGTCATAGGTACATAGCTTTTAACCTTTTATGCTTATCCTAGACATATACTAGTTATTGCAGATAAGGGAAACCATGGGACCTATGTTTCTTTGGGCCTGGCTTACTTCACTTAATATAATTTTTTCCCAAGTCTTTCCATTTCCTAACAAATGTGGTGGTGTTATTCTTTCTGATGGAGGCATAGAATTCATATATATACATATCACATTTTCTTGATGTTAAAGCGAATGAACCCCAGGATAGGGACACAAGTGTTTTTTTTTCTTTCTTGCTATTGTTTTTAATGTATTTATAATGTACTATGTGATTTTTTTGTTTCTTTTATATGTTTTTCTGTTTCTTTTATAACCCATTTTTACTGTATTTGATTCCAGTTACCTGCATCTTGTAATCTTGTATATGCATTTTTCTCTTGTATATACATTTTTCTAATTTGGGGAGGGGAAGGGGAATAACGAAATGATTAAATAAGGATACAAGATGTAACAATGAGATGTACAAAACATTATGTTGAAAATGAACTTTACAACTTGGGGGGGGTGAGGGGGTGGAGTTGGGGAGTGGGGAGGGAAGGGATAGTAGGGGAAAAACAAAGGAGGAGGTAACAATGCTCAATAGGAAGTGTACTCATTACCTTACTCATGTAACCCTCTGTACAGTACTTTTACAATAAAAGCATTAGAAAAAGAATTATTATAGTGAAACAGATTTTTATGAAATGAGAACA